CTAATCACAGATTTTCTTGGTCCTTTCTTTCTGAATTTATTATCCTGTTGTTGTTAGGCATTCTGATGGTGTAGTCAGTTACACATTGGACTGCCAACAGCAAGGTCAGCGGTTTGAACCCAGGAGCTGCTCCTTAGGATCAAGACGAGGCTCTATTCTCCTGTAAAGATGTATTGCCTCAGAAACCCCAGGGAGCATTTTTACTCGGCCCTGTAGGGTTGCTGTGAATGGGATGGACTCTATAGCAGGAGGCGGGTTGTTGTTGTGTGTCCTTGAATCAATCCCAACTCAAAACAATCCTGTAGGGCAGAGCAGAACTTCCCCATAGGGTGTCCTAGGTTGGAGTCTTGACGCAAGCTGATCTCCAAATTGCCTTTTGTTTAGCAGCTGAGCATTTAACCATGGGGCCACCAGGGCTTCTTTCCTTATCCTAGAAGGGCTCTGGAGGGATAGTCTCAGGAAGCCCACGGAGCAACGTACTGTCCATGCTGACTCCTCTACCTAAGGAAGCCTAGGGGGTAGGGGTCCATGTGGTGGTGGTCCACACACAGGGCCACTGTTAGGCAGTTTAGAAAAGGCACCGATGTTGGCTGGATGGGAGTCCATGGTAGTGCAAAATGGTCATCCCACGTGGCTGCTAAGTCAACAGTTGGAGTCTTGAATATGCCCAGATAGGCCTCAGAAGAAAATACTATATATACTCGTGTATAAGTCGAGTTTTCCAGCCCATTTTAAATGCAGTTTTTGTGGTGAAATTAGGTGCCTCAGCTGATATTTGGGTCAGCTTCTACTTGAGTCTATAGGTATTAATTCTGAAGAAAAAAAAAAGTCAGCCATCGAACCCCCTATGGCACACAGTTCTACTTCAACTCACATGGGTAGCCAAGAGTTGGAGTTGAGTCAAAGGCAATCAAGGTGGTTTTATGGTCAGAGAGTTTGGTCAATCTGTGGACACGTGAATCTAAAGGTAGACAGCCCCCTCTTGCCACAAAAAGTGCCCCTTCATCTGGGTAGGTTGAGGCTCCCACCCATGTGCATGCTCAGTGAGCAGAGCACCAACTGGACTCCTGTCTCATCCCTTCGTCCGGCACTTTGTGCTGGTACAAACTATACCATGACCCTGAGCACACAGCTGCTGACCCTGGTGATGATGACGGGCTGTGTGGTGAAGCAGGGGAGCTTTCCGTGTTACGTACAAAGTAGACACCAACACAACTGAAGAGTTGATTACCACGAAGCACATGAAAACCAACGTGCTACTTTGTGAATGAACCCAGAAAACATTCCGCCGGATCAGTTAGTCACAAAAGGACAAATAATAGGATTCCACCGACAGAAGATTTAGACTAAGCAAATGCACAGAGGGGCGGTTACCACGGGCAGCCTCGCTTATGGGATGATGAGAAGACTGTTCAGGTGACAAACAAACCCAGAGACAGATCATGGTGACGGTGGCCCAGCACGGCGCACACAAATGAGGCTGCTGAGTGGTACAGGCAAAGAGAGCAACACTGATGCGTGTTCTGGTACATACATTTCACCCCAATAAACGTGCAAAAGCAGAAACAAACAAACAAAAAACCCAACCCCATACCTCTCCCTAAAAAAAGGAGCAAAAACCTTTTCTGTATGGAAAAGAAGGATCTCTGCTGGTACTGCTGTGCAAGCATTGGGTTGCTAACCACAGGTTGATGGTTCAAACCCACCAGCCACGCTGTGGGAGAAAGACGAGGCTGTCTGCTCCCTTAAAGATTCACAGCCACAGAAATCCTACAGAAGGTCACTATGAGTCAGAAGAAACTCTATGGCATTGGATTTCGTTCTTTTTCTGTGAAGCTGGGGCTGGACGCCCTTGTGGACCACGGTCCCTCAGCTTGTTGACTGCTTGTTTGACTCTGCCAACAGGGGGCACTAGACCACTGCTGGAAGCCCGTTTGCTTCCCATTCCTGCCTATTTCTTTCTTTCTTTGTGCTGTAAAAATAGTGTTTATTGATATTTTTTTGGGAAAACAAAACAAAACAAAACAAAATCACAATTGAAAAGTACCTTCTTCCCACGATTTCAACAGAAACACTGAAAATGAGAACTGGGAAGAGTGTCTGGCTTTTGATGCAGTTAGCGCCACAACACAAGCAGTACAGCAGTCTCCCTGTTGGCTCTGAGAGGGCAAAGGGAGCATTCACTTGGACAGTGCAGGACTTCAACAAGAGGGCTTCAGATATTTCAAATACTTGGTAACCTTCTGCAGTGTTTCTACCAAGAGATGGCTCCCGCCCGGAGAGGAGAGTACTCTACTCCTCTTTCTCCTTCCCAAGGCTTCCTTTGCAGCAGAGAACCCGCTGGGAATCCGCTACCCTGCACATTGGACACTCACGATCTCCAAGGGCTGCTTCCAACCGTGGAAGCTTGCCTCTAGTTGGCAGTCACCCCCGGAGTGGACCCTGGAGGTGGACTGTCCTTTCAGATGGAGGAAGAGCAGCAGAACTGCCCACGGAGGTCCGACTAGCTGGCTGGCTTCCAGAAGCTCCTACTGATGCTCAGGACAAACACTTGCCATGCTTTCCCTTTTTTGCTTTACACTCTTCAAAGACTCAGTGTTTACTCCCGCACACCCCAGTTTCCATCCATAACATCACCTCCAGCAGACCAGGAAATGCACAGGCTTAACGGGACCTGCCTATTCTTGACCGTGTGACTGTGACCACGTTTCGTCTAGTACCAGCTGCTGGCTCTGGGTTTTCTAACACTCCCAGCACCACCTCCCGCTCAGAGACACCAACACTAGGAGGCACTAGCTGGCCGGGAACCTCTCATCAAAAGTGCTGCATGATTTTTTAATGCATTAAAAAAAAAAAAAGCCAGAAGAATGATTGTGGGGATACTGTCATTGATTTAAATTCCCTCCACCCTTGACTCTTCCAAATTTCTTCAACTAGCATGAATTATTTTGAAAGTTAAAACAACATTGACAAAAAGGAATAATTTCTTCAACTGATGAAAAAGCAGGTACTGACCGACTAATTGTTACAGCACTAGGAATGAACCTTCAATCGGCTTTCAATTTAGAGATGTAGAAGACGAAATGGAAATAAACAAGAAGGAAGGCGACCTGGCAGTGAAACTGGTCAGCATGTCGCTGTTAAGTGAATGTTCCTGGAAAGGTTCCAGCCCCAAACCGAACCGAACCGAACCAAACCACACCAAACCAAACCGAACCCCAAACCCATGGCCATCACATTGATTCCCACCCACAGTGATGCCAGGTAGGGTTTCCGAGACTCTAAATCTTCAGAAGTGCAGGCAGCCTCATCTTTCACTCTTGGAGTGGCTGGTGGACTTGAACTGTCAACCTGGCAATGAGCAGTCCAGCACCCAACCCACGGTGCCACCAGGGCTCTTTTAATATAGCCTAGAAAGCCCTATGGAACAGTTCGTCTCTGTCTCACCAGGTCCCTAGCGTCTAAATGGACCCAACAGTACTGAACAACAATACCAACAACAGCACGGCTGAAGAACAAGCAACATGATCATGGTTAAAAAACAAGAAAAAAGGGTCCAATCTTATAAGAAATATTACAGGTCAGATGGATTAACTGACATAGGAGATGCTAATGTGATGATAAGTCTGTGAAGATTACAGTGGTGAAGAGGAGAGGGGTTGGGCTGGAATGTTCTTTTGGGAAGGGGGTCTTGGTTGTACCTTGAAAGCGTGTCTGCAGAGCAAGTACATGGGTACAGATGAGAGCCTGCAACACAGGGCATACAGGACAGACTCAACCCCTCAGGACCAGTAATGAAAGTAGTGATACCAGGAGGGTAGGGGAGAAGGTGGGGGGCAGAAAGGGTAATGGATCACAATGATTGACATATAATACCCCCCCCCCAGGGGGATGAACAACAGAAAACTGGGTGAAGGGAGACAACAGTCAGTGTAAGATATGAAAAAAGAAAACATAAATTATCAACAGCTCAGGAGGGAGGGAGGGTGGGGGGTGGAAATGAGAAGCTGATACCAAGGGCTCAAGTAGAAAGAAAACGTTTTGAGAATGATGATGGCAACATATGTACAAATGTGCTTGACACAATGGATGTATGTATGGATTGTGATGAGCTGTAAGAGTCCCCAATAAAATGATTAAAAAAAGATGTAATAAACATTCTCCTTAGATTATATTAAAAAAATAGTGTGGTCTGAATGGCAGGTGATATAAACAATCGGTGGGAAGGCAGAGAGAGCATTGCGTGAAGAAGGAAGATTTAGGAACGGGTCTCTAACGTGGGTACCTGAAACCCACCAGGCAGTGCAGGCAATCCGGTAGGCTGTGCAAAGAAACTAGACCTTCTGTTTAAGTATTTTCAGGAGCCCTGGTGACAAGCGGGTTAAGCACCAGGCCAGGAACGGAAACGTCAGTGCCTTGAACCCGCCAGCAGCTCTGCGAGAATGAATGGCCTCCCTGCTGTGGAAACCGTGATGGGAGCAGAAAGCCTCATCTTTCTCCCGAGTAGGGCCTGGTGGGTTTGAACTGCTAACCTTGTGGTTTGTAGCCCAAGGCACAAACCACTATGCCACCCAGGTTTCTTAAGCTACATTAAAACCCCAAACAAACTCATTGCCATCGAATTAATGCTGAATCACAGCAATCTTATAGGGCAAGGTTGAACTGCCCCTGTGGGTTTCCAAGACTGTAACGCTTTACGGGAGTACAAAGCGTTACCTTTCACCTATGGAGCAGTTGGTGGTTTTGAACTGCTGACCTTGTGGATTGCAGCCCAGTGTGTAACCATGATGAGCTACATAGTGTTACAGAAATACAGGTCCAGTCCAGGGTGAGGATTCAGAGGGCAGACCTGCAGTCCGGTTGTTTCGTCTGACATCCCCCAGGAGAGTCTGGCACTGTGCTTTAGTACCTCTGTGACCTGGGCAGATTACTTAGCCTATCCGTGCCTCAGTTTCCTCTTCTATTGCAACAAACGAACATGGACTTGTGGCGACTCCATGTGTCACAGAGTAGAACCGCTCTGTACATTTTATTATTATTATTATTATTATTATTATTATTATTTATTTGTGTGTGTTGGGCGGTGGCAATGGCTGTGATCATTGCAGAATCAGATCTCTAGGTTGGTGCGAACATCCGACCTTTAGCTTAGTCCACAAGTGACAACCATTTGCAACACTTTGGGACCACCCTCTTCTATAAAATGGGATACTCCTAGGACTGGCATTGTAGGTTTGTCGTGAGAACCCATTCTCACCGCTACAAATCCTTCACAGAACCGAACAAGCCCAATGAGTCCTTACCAAAGTGCTTCTGAGTCTAGGAGGGAAAAAAGCCACGGCAGACGCACAGCACACTTACCTGCCCGGGGCCTACGTACAAACAGGTCGCATTGCTGTGACAGCCCCCAGCGCCGGGCAGCAGGCAGTTGTTGATCTCTGAGCAGTCTCTGCCGTCCCCCGTCCACCCCTGCTGACACACACAGCTATGGGTCCCCGGGCCGGTTCGGATGCACTCTGCCTGTGGAGGAAGACAGGAAAAACTAACCTCCCGAAGCCTCACCGCTGCCACAGGACTCCCTGAGGGTAAGGGACTCCCAGAGGTGTGACCTTGAAACTTGGATTTGGATGGCGTGCAAAGGAAATGACGGGAGTGCATATTTGCTTTGAGTTAGATGGAAATATCTGATGATTCTGAAGTGCAAAGCTGCTTGGCGTTGAACAGCCAGTGATCATCGTTATTAACACCACCGGGTCGCTGACTGAGCCAGGGGGCTGCGCTTGATGTTCGGCAGGTGTGAGCAATCACACTGATGAGGATGGTGCGGAGACTCTATTTTACAGTGAGCAAACTGGCTCAGAGACATGCAGGAACTTGCTCAACATCCCACGGTGACAAAGAAGCGTGAAACCTGGCTCTGAACCATGGTCCCGCCTCTCAAGGTCTCCCAGGATGACCGCACCTGGATCCTGAAGGACAGTTGAGAGGCAGAGAGGCGTGTAAGATAAGTTGTCCAAAAAAGACCCGTTTGAGGTGGGCAAGGCTAGCTCAAGGGGCGGCCGGCGGGGTGGGGTAGGACATCTGAGTTCGGATTTCATCCTCAGCGTCGGAAAGTCCTGAAGGAGGTCAAGCATTGGCAGAACCTGGCCTGATTCCCTCGCAGACACGCTGGCTGTCACGTGGAGCATGCATGTGGGGAGGAGGTCAGAGAGGAAGCAAGGAGGCGAATGATGATACTGTAGGTGAAGAACGAAGGTGGCACAAGTGGTTAAGCACTGGACTACTAACCGAAAGGATGGCAGTTCAAGCCCCCCCCAGAGACCCCTGGGAACGAAGGTCTGGCCACTTGCCTCCAAAAGCTCTCTGCTTTGAAAACGCTATGGAGTATCTGCTGCAGTGCAGCGGAATGAATTCGATGCCAATGAACAACAGGATGAGCGAGCTAGTGGTGTATATTTCAAAGGAGTTCCTGAACGCGCCACGGTGGGTTCCGGTCCCTAAGTCCCAGGACTTAGGGCAAGTCACCTAACCTCCCTGAACCTCGGCTCATCATCAGTCAAATGGGGATGACCATATCTGCTTCGTTGAACTGGTGAGAAGAACAAGGGAGTTCACGTCCATTCAAGTCCAGGGCAAGCTGTCAAGGGTGGGATCCAGTTGATGACGATGGATCTCGAGCTCTGATGTTCCAGCCGGGTTGTGAAGAGAACAAAGCCCCCTGCACCTTTGGAGCCGGAGCACCCCCTGTATGGATCCACCAAAAGAGGCCCCGGGCAGGCGCCCTGAAGCCCACTTCAACATAAGTCCATCATGGGCTTCCAGCAGGACTGCAAAGGGGTCAGGCACACCTTCCCCATGACCTCCTCCCCAACCAGGCAGTTTGGAACAAAGACCAACCCTTACATTGCGGCTGCAGCCCACTGGGGTTGATCCCACGCAGGGATCCGTCTCTGTACAGAGGATTCCGTCCCCTTCAAATCCTGGTTTGCAGATGCAGCTGCGAAGAAGGGGGCACGCACAACCTCAGTCACAGACACAGAAGCACCAGCCACCACCGAGAAGGGCTAGCCAGCCAGAGGTGAACTGCTTCACGGCCAGGTGGCTCCACAGTGTATGGAGGAAGTTAGGGGCACGTCTTTCTATGGTCTTTTCTAAATATGTATATAATTTTTAACAATGTTATATTTTTAACAGTTTTAAGGACACACAATTCACATACCATGTGACAATGGGTTAATTATATTAAAGAGTTGTGCGGCCCTCCCCACAATCAATTTTACAACCTGTTCTTCATTCTTGTATCCATTATTATTACCTCTCTGTTACTATCCATTATTATTACCTCTCCATTACTATCCATTATTA